TTGGACAAGTGAACTGAAACTCCGGAAGGAGGTAGTCAAGCAAGCAATGAAAGACTTTAAAGAAAAGTATCACGATGGAAAAGAAGAGTCACTATCATTTGGAACGGAAGCGGCGAAAAGGACCAGGATGCTTGAAACCAAAATTGGAAGGAAAAACGACTAGAAAGCCAGGGTGCAACGAGGAAACGCTGCTTGGTACAAGACTAAGAAAGGCTTTGGCGATCCAAGCTGGCCATGAGGACACAAGCCCTAGTCGTGCAAGCAGTCGTAGAATCAACAATGCTTTTCGATTGCATGGTCCACACATGGACAGCGACAGACATCCAGAAGATGCAGAGTGTTCCAGATAATGCAAACCGGTGGATATGGAACCACAAACGAGGCCTGGCGAAACTGAGGATGCAGAAGGAGCACGTAAATACATACGAGATAAGAGGACAACTGGGAATCGCGTCCATGCGGGCCAAGATAGAGACGAGAACCCTCTCCAAAATTGGTCATATCCTACGCATGCCGAACGAGAGACCCACCAAGAGGATAATTCTCGGTACTTGGGACCACGAAATCGAAGTAATAGGAGGCATGAAACGAGGTACATTATGATACTGGCGCAAACTCCTGGGAGAAGCCGGAATAGACTGGACCAACGCTAGGAACTTATCCAGAAACAGGTTAGGTGTAGAAGTTTGGTAAAGAAGCGCGAGAGATTCTTGACCGACTGGGAGAAAAAGATGCGCCTGACAGGGAAACACGACCCCAAACCACCCAGGACACAGAGCCCTGAACAAATAGAGAAAGCGGAAGGCTTCACAAGCAGGTGGGAAGGCTGCACCAGAGTATGCAGATCAAAAGGAGGTCTCACCCAACATGAAAGGCGAATGCACTGTGAATTGAACGCATCGTTCAAGTGTACACGATGCTTTCGAACGTTTAACGGAAAGGCACAACTGACAAAACACGGCAAATGTAACATTCACCCAAATACTACACAGTGACGGAGCGTAGAATAATTACCTATAGACGACTGGCCGGCGTCAGTTACCTAAAATCTTCTCGTTTTTTACCGTCTCGACCTAGCCCGTTGATTTTCTGGTCTGTTTAGGGCTAAGTAAAAAATTACTATTTTCACGCCATCAGTCAAACGGTTTTTAATCAGATTCCGTTTACATGCGAAGATAATCACATAGCTGGGTCTCGGATACTCAGACTACATGACAAGCATTAAAAACACGGCTCGAATATTCTATTTTACTATGTTTTCTGGTGACAGTTCTATATTAAATCCATTGGAGATGGATTGACCCTTTCCTCTTTCTAGCTACTCATATTCTAAAATAAACAAATAATACCCATGTTAATTCAAAGGTTTATGACATCAGAGTAGCTAAAAAGTCAGTTTATTACAGTCCTTCACCATATGATGTCTCTGGGGGGCCGAGCCTCCGATTCCGTGATTTTTCTGTAACAACTACGTTATTACTCCCAATTCGTGCACGGAGGGTACTGCTCCTTCCTTCTTCCCAAATGAAGCCTCCTTTCAGTCTCTCGTCTCAAATTAGTTGTCTTATTATGCGCGATCGTCACGATAAGAGGCTTCGTGTTTTCTTCTATATTTCGGACCGTCTGTCTCTCACTAAATCGGTTGTTGTTGTGCTTTTTGTGACTTTTCAACCAAAAATGGCCATTTTCCGTATTTCTCAGAAAAAAACACACTGCAATCGAATTTTTGAAAAATAAAAATTCTAGAATATTCTAGCCTCCTTTTCAACAATACATAATCACTAAGGCCTCTAATGTCTTTTTCGTGCTGCGATGGAAAGTTCCGCTGTGCCAATCCGGGGGAATGGCACAAAAGCCTGTGAAACTGAGGTGCAAACACAACCCCGAGTCTAGTCCCGAGAGTCATGCCATATCTGCGGAGTAAAACAGACCAACACCAACATGGCCAGACACCTTCGCAGGGTGCATGGGGTTGTGAAGCAAGGAGGAACCCCTCCATGAAAGCTCTGCCTTACCTAACATGTTTTTTCCTTTTCCAAGTTTGTTTTCTAATTTCAAACGCCAAAGAAGTAATGTAAGTATGCAATGGAGGATGACCTCAATACTTTTTCAGGTCGTGAATGAAAATGAGTGTAATGGGCAGGAGCTATAGAGGTGGGAGGAAAAGGAGCCTGGAAGAGGTCTTAGCATCCAAGGAGGGTGTTAATAAAGTACCAGCGAGAAAAGGGGATAAACCGTACCGTGAGGAGATCACCACGGAAACCACAGACCATCTCGAAATTGCTGTTTTGGGCGATTCCATTGTAAATGGGATCTTTATTAAGAACGCGAAGGTTGTGACTTGTCCCGGTGTGGAGATTCACCAACTGTCTGAGAGGAAGATAATGGACGATTTTAGTCGCCTAGGAACTAAAAAAATTGCGATTCTCGGCGGGACAAACAACATTGCATGGAGAGACGGCTCAACACATCAGCCAGAGGAGTTCAGTAACCAAATGAAGGATCTAGTGCAAATATATAAGAACGAAGGCTTTCAAGTAGTTTTAATGGAAGTTCCATGGAGGAGGCACCGCAAAGTATAAATCAAGAAGATCAACAGGCAATACGAAAAGATAGCAAAGAAGGCGAAATGCGAGTTCCACAGATACCGACGGTTCTCGAAAGCCCATTTAAACAAGAACGATCGGGTGCACCCAGCCACGGACCACATCCAAATCCTGGCCAAGGAATTCTATCAGGCTCTCCAGAGGCTGTCCACTGATAAGTCCAATGGAGGACATACTAGTGGGGCCTCGGGGACCTGACTAGTTCCGGAGAAGGCATCCAGGTCTCGAACGAGACGTAACTGAGAGAGGGAGGGGGGGAGAGAGAGAGAGAGAGAGAGAGAGATAGATAGAGCGAGTGAGCGAGCGAAAGAAGAACATCAAAAAAGCCCAGGAGCAGCAGAAGATCGGCCCAAGGAACCGACTATGAGATCAAATCGCCAGAGGAGACGGTCATCAAAATGGGTTGCGTATTGATCTGGAATACCACAGAGAAAAAAACTCAGAAATATAAAACTCAAAGAAGAGCCCAGAAAGAGGGCTGACACCGAATCCAAAAAACTTGTTAGCTAAACTCAATTAAAACTAAATTAAATTCAGTGACCACATGTACATATAGTCTTAACTGTCAACACATGAACCTGTGTACATACCATATACAGTGCCTACAGGAGGAGTATCTGTGGATCACAAAGTTTAATTCGTTGGATTAAAGATTATTGTGGTTGTCCCCATGACGTAGGGGCATGTATTTATTCTAAAGTAAAGTTATTGAGTTCCGCGTGTTTTAGATGCAATTGTGTATCATTTGTTGCGACGTAATTGTTTTCATGCTTTTTGTCTAAAGTATTTGTCAGTTAGAGTAGATTGAAACATTCAGCCTGCCTTTTAAGATTTAGTACAGGTGTGCAATGAGTTTGATGGATGATTTGATGCTCTGTGCATTCATTTTGAACAAACAATAACCTTGAAAAGCCAAAATTCAACAAAAATTTGTATCACAAGGCTCATTTTTTCCTTGAGTTCAATCAAGTCATTTTTCAGGTTTCTGTTGAAACACTCTGAAAACACTGTTTTATTTAAAACATTCTGAAAATGATTTAACCAGAAATTTCTCAGAAACTATTTTACACAAGGTTCAACAACTTGTATTTTCATTGAGCTCAATTACGTCATTTTTCAGGTTTTTTGAAATTCTCCAAAGAAACTGTTTTACTCAAAAGTATTTTTTTTTTCAAGTTAGAGCTCTAATTGAACAATAGAAATTTCCTGAGGTCCCCGACCTGCTCTTTCAGAAATCTTGAGATATCGCGAAGACCTAATATACACTACTCCAGGGGCGGATCTAGGCTTTTCTGGAAGAGGGTGGGGTTTCAAAAAAAATTTCGAAAACTTCTTCGACGTTTTTTTAAGGTTTTTAAAATCCCCCATTGATTTTCTGAGCTCTCGCAAATCACTAATTAGACCCTGTTTCGAGCAAATTTGAGCGTCGCAGACAAAGTTTTAAAAAAAAACAGGCCAAAAAAGGCGTTTTTGCACTTTTTGGAAAATTTTGACAAAAAAATTGAGTTGTTTTGGCGCGCGCTTCCCCCTCAAATTTAGTAAATATTGGCGCCTAATGATCAAATGATCAACATCAACGTAAGCTCAGAACAATCAGAATTAAAAGAAGGTAGAGAATCAAATCATATCAGTTATTCAGAGCGAAGAGAATCAGGTTCATATCAATAAGCTGAAAGTTTTCATCTAATCAAGTAGCTATTAAAAAATAAATGAAGCTGGTACAAAAATTGCAATTAAAATAGTGTTTTTATCAACTATTTTTTAGCTGATCATAAATAATCATCATCTGGTTCTTGCATGAAGTTTACGCTTTGAAATCTGTCGCTTTGGACCGAATTGAGACTGATTCTACTATTGTTACTGCTTCGTCTCATTGGGTATACGGCTCCCAGTTCGGTTCCGAGTAAATCAGTTCCAGGGCCCCCTCCAAAACTGATATTCACCCCTCCGTTACCAATTTGAATTTCAACAGGAGCCGAATTCGAATTCCTGTGAATTGTAGCTTCTCTCCCGTCTTCAGGAGAAAGAACTTGAATGCAGTCCTTTTGAATTCTAAATTGAGTATTTTTCATCACATTTCGCGACACGCTGAAATTGTGAAAGGATTGATTTTCAACCGGAAGTGAAATATTCACGGGTTTGAAATTGCGCGGCATATTTCCTTGATTTTCGAAACTTCGATCGCTAATATGAGAATTGCTCGACGAATTCTGCTGTCCAAAGTTGAGAAACGAGCGGCTACCAGTGCTTTGCATTTGCATTGGCGAACTTTGGTCAAATCGGGAAAATCCGAAAGATAGTTGAGGCTGTCCGTAACTTTTGTTATCATACATCGAGATGTTTGAGTCATCATGATGAACTATGGAAACGAAATCCGGATTACTTTGACTTGGCGGTACTCGAACTTGTTTATGAGCGAACCCAACAGGAATCGGTGACTGTGCTTTTGGTTTTCCAAAGTTAGGCGGTTCTGAGCTTCTAGATTTCACCAATTTTTCCACATACTTGTCCAGCATGTTTATCCCACCCGAGCTTGAGCTGGGGCTAGGACTGTTTCCTCCCGCAGCGATTGAAACCGTATCCATCGATCGGGTTCGAGGCATTGTTGCTTTAGACCCTGAGGACAGGGTTTGAGCAAAAACAGGTGCATGTGACGACGAATTATCAAATTGAACTGGCGAACGTGCTTGCATCTGATTGGCTGAAACTGGTGAGCTAACAACTCGTTGGTTGATTGGAGACGGTGACATCGCTGCTCTCTGATTGGTCACAAAACTCATTCCTTGCTGATTATAAATAGTTGGAGAACTTGCTATTCGCTGATTGGATGAGACAGGGGAATACACAGATCGCTGGTTAACTGTCGTGATTGGAGAGCTCACAGATCGAGGAGTAACCAATGGCGACGAAGGAGTTCCAATTGACTGAAGATTGGTTGAAACTGGTCGGCTTGGTGGTCTTTGACTGGTTGGCGAGGGCGTACTGATTCTCGGCTCACTTAATCGTCTGACGAGGTGAGCAAACTTGGGAGAGTTCGTCGGTGGACCAGTTAGTCCGTAGAAAGCAAGTAAAGATTGACGTTTCGTGGCGGGCGAGATGTCATTTTCGTGCTGATATTCAAAAACTTGGTTTGGGATATTAGCTTGGCTAATTGGTACAAACTGAGCTGGAGCTTTGTGAAAATTAGGCGGCGACTTTCTAGCCATATTTTGAGATTGCGGAGTTTGGTTTCGGTTCACTGTGTAGTAATTGAACTGTGACATCGGACTCGATGACCCGGCACTGCTTCGTCGACTTCTCGAATTTTCAAGAGGAGATCTCAATTCATCGCTTCCGAGCTCGTAGCTTATTTTTCGACCCGGTGCAGTAGGTGTGCCACTGAAAAAGAACAAATCTTCAACTGATGACCTTGTCGACGATGTTGCTTCAGACGCCGAGTACTCCGAAACCGAAGTCGGGGTCGAGCGTTCTTTTTCGATCTCACCTTGAATTGTTTTCGAAAGAAACGTAGCCGCTGCATTTACTTTTCCTCTGTCTGTTTTTGCTTTCGGCGCTCGCGTTTTTTCTGGCTCCTTTTGTCGCCGAGGTGGCGGGAGACTCATTGGAACCGGTTCTGAGGGTTTCGAGGGAAAAGCATTTTTCATTGGTAGTGTAGCAGATGACTTGAAGTTACTCGGCGGCTCTGATCTTGACTGTCTAAGTGACGGAGCCTGAACAACAGAAGGATATGAAAACTCTGGGCTTCTAGGATTTTCATCATTTTTAACTGTTTCAGCTGCAAGACTTTGTTCTTTGTCGGGATTATAGTTTGGCGGTGCCCTTTTTAAAATGCTCGTATCAAATGTGAAAGTCTGTTTTTGAGTCGGAAACGGCGATGGATCTCTGGCTTTGGTCTTCCCCAGTTCTTTCGCTTTGTTTTGTCGTCGGTCCGACGGACCTGTGCTGCGTCTAGGGTTCATCGGAACTATAGTGGTTCCTGAAGATGCGGAGGTGATAGGTTCGGAGACGGGCTCGGTGGTCAATCTTCCATCCCGATCTGGTGTACATGTGCCCTCTAATCTAAGAGCTAACCGTGAGCCAATTGATGGCGCTGATGGCCTTGAAATACTTTCATTTGAACTATTTTGATCGTATTGCTGATTAGCAATAGTCTTGACTACTTGAATTGGATTTTCATTTTGAGGTTTTCTTGTTTGAAATTCGGTGGATTTCAAACTTTTGTCATAGACTAAATCATTTTTGATGAGATTTTCCACATTTTTGTCGATTTCAATGGGCGTCCGAGGCTTTTGAATTGGCTCATTATTGACACTCTGACTGTAATTTTCATCCGGTTTAACTGAAGTTACATCAAAAGTTTTGTCCAGGTTTTCGTCGTTATTGTCTTTTCCAACGTCAAAATCCCCGACGTGCAAACTTTTCTCGGATGACGTCAGTGACTCGTGGCTCAGAGTTCGGTCGTCGGTTTCAGCTTCTGTTTCGGTTTCGGGGTAATACGAAGAGTCAATCGTGCTTTGGTCAACCGATGAGTCATAATCCGACACGAATCCCCGTTCGGAGGAGCAATTGATCTCGTAAGTTCCCTCATCTTCGGACCCGCTTCCAGTGTCGGGAAGAAGTTGTCGCCGGACATTCGACTTCGGTCTGACAATCGGATCTTCGGATGCAACTGATTCTTTCTCGCTTGCATCGTCCAGATCCAAATTCGACACTTTTGTTTCTAAAATAAACAGTAACTTGAAATTTTCATCAAGATCTTCAAGATTTTCATCATTTCTGTTCACTTTTCATTTTACCCTACAAAAAAAAAACGCCCAACTTACCTGTTTTGGGCGCTGAAATGTATCCCGATTTTCCTTTTTCCGGAGTTGCGCTCCTTGTTTCCGATCTCAAATCTCCGAACTGATCGCCGTATTTTCCCAAATCAACATCAACATCAATTTCATCATGTCCCAGTACTTTATTGCCCATAGCCTCACTTTGAGCAGATGCAGCAAAAATAGCGTTGAAAGTCAGGCTTGAAACTTTTGCGCATTGGCTTTGAGAAGAGATGTTTGGACCTTCGAGAAAGTAAGTTTTGTAGAGGGTTCTGATCTCTTCGTACGCTTCCGCTAAATCGTCAAAAGGTCATGTCAAATCATCATTATGAAATTGCAGTTTTGCTAATTTGTAAAGAGCAGTTTCGCTAGTTTCTAAATTTCTGCTTAATATAAAAAACTTTTTCTTTACTTAACTGTTAGCTAGACACTTTTAAAATATAATGAAAGCAAATAAACAAAAAACAGTCTGGCATGTTTTTTTTTAAATCTCAACTTTCGAATTTTAAACAAAAAAATATATGGCCTTTTTGATAAAATTAACTTATTTTGAAAAAACTGGGTTATTAGGAAAATTTTTGTAACGCTGGGAATTCTAAAATAAAGATTTCCACTCTCAAAAGTCAGAAAATCCGCTTCCTCTCGATAAAATCGGACACAGGATTTCATTAGGAGGGTGCAGATTTTCAAAAGGCTTCCGAAAACTGTATCAAATTATTTAAGCTCAACCAAATTGGTTTTTGGAGCTCTTCCCAACAATTATAAGCCCATGTTGCAAAGGAGTTACTGCCTGTGGTTTTATTTGTCCCAGTTTGATATGTTTGATAGTTAAGACAACTAATTCAATTCAAAACAAATCATATCAAGAGTTGCTTGCTTGTTGTATGTAGTACGAAAAATTTTATCGTAGAAAACTGCACGAACATTTTTTCCTTTTTGTTTTGTTTGAATGTGGTCGAAATTTCCTGTGCTGCTTGCACAGCACTCGGATACTCTTGATATATTTTAGTTTTGAGTCCATTTTTTTCTTTTATTACCAAACACGTCACAATTGGGTAAATGTTAATGGATTTCATCGAAGGGATAGGTGCGGATTTTGAAAACAAATCCAAAAGTTTTATCAACCGTCGTTTAGCTCGTCCAAATTTTCCGATCTCTCCTGTGTGCAGTAGTTGTGCAGTAATGAAGAGACTAAGAAAAAAATCTGCGAAAGTGAGATTGTTGATAAATTAACCATAATTGTTTACAGTAGTAGTTGTCTTCAGAAATAGAAAACAAAACAAATTAGAAAAAATGAAAAGTTTTTTAAATTTGTTTTTATTTTTTTTGGCACAGTTTCAATTGTTGTTTTTGAGTTTTTTGTACTCTCAAAAAAGCGCTAAATGACGCTTCAAAATTTGCTTTCCTGAAGCAAAACTAAGTTTAATGCAAATGGTTTCCTTTTATTACACGTACTCGCTCGCTGTACTCGCTCGAAAGCAGGCTAAAAAATCAAAAATTTCACATTTATTTTTCTGCAGTTCGAAAATTACGATTAGAAGGGCTTCATTGATATATATCACTCGCCCATTCTGATGATTGGTTGTGGTGCCTGATTTTTTGTGGAAAAACTGTTTATAACTGAAAAAAAAACACCCGAAGAGGTAGTTGCCCCCTCCCACTTTCGGTAGAAGGAATAAACAGTCTGCGTTTATATCCCTACTGAATCGAAAGAAGGTGGAAAATCAGGCATAAATTGAAAAACTCACATAGGCTATCCGGTCTCTTTTGGGCGTTGTGGTGGGACATTTTGTTCAGCAGCAGAGCCAGTTCCTTCTCAAGGTCAAACACTACACGATCTTTGTCGTCTTTCTTTTTTTCATCTTTGACTGAGAAGAATCTGAGGTCCCAAATGGTCTTCAGTGTTAGCCCCAGAGAGTAAATGTGACACTAAAGATGGAGCTCAAATTAAGAAAAAATATTCGAGACTTCAGAAAAAGTCGAGACTTCAGAAAAATAATGCTTGATAAAAAAACGTATCTTTGTATACAGAGGTGAATCTAGGTTTTTGATGCGGATTTCCAAAAAAAATGTGGCAATTTTTTTTGGGTCGATCGGTTGATTTTCCCAAATTTTCTCAAAACAAAATACAGACCCGATTCTGAGAAAAAAATTCTGCGCTACAGGCGTTTTTTGAAAAAATAAAACATGCGAAAAGGCCGTTTTTGAGTCATTTTTTAAAGGTTTTGTCCAAAAATTGCTTTTTTTTGGCGCACGCCTTCATATTTGGAATCTGCCTTTAGGAAAATTTTTACGGTTGGTCAGCTGAAAATGAAAATTTAAAAAAATTAGTACGAAAGAGACGATCAATTGAAGGGTGTCCCCTAACTATGCGCTGTTTGAATCAATTTTATTTTATTCTCAGTTTGCTCTCAAGTTTCCTATAATATCTGAAAAATAAGCAAAATTGAAGATGCTTATTACGAATATTGTCTGATTTATTATAAAATAATAACTGAGCTAGAAGATAAATCCGAAGCTATTTACCCTTGCTGCAAATTTTCTGATAGCATTTTCTTCGTCTTGCTTCGTGAAAATATTCGAAATGTTAATCAATTCATGTTGCAGTTGCAAATCATGTCGCTCGGGGGCGTCAAAAAAATCCCACGAGTCACCGTCGCCCCCTCCCGACTGAACTTGGATGTCCAGAGCGACTGCGTTACCCTGAAGTGTAATGCACAATGTATGGGGACTGATTTTCAATTGGTCGGCGAAAAATCTCAACGGGCAAGTTTGGTAGAGTTTGAGTAGAGTTTTCACACTTTGTTCACACAGACAGAGAACTGCTTCGTTGATGTTGGAAGCTACTTCTGATTGGCTTTCGACGGAGTTGGAATCAGATTGGGTTTTCTGAATCTGCATCCAGAAACGAGCTATTTCTCCAATGGTGACCAAATCTTCTTCCTAGAAAATCATTAAATTGATCAGTTTGTACTACTGTCTAAATAGGACGAAACATCTAAAGTTTTAAGCACTTCTTAATGAAAAAAATAGTAATTAGCAGGAAAATGTTTCAAACGTTTTTACCAAGAAAAAAATTTCAGCCTTTCAAACAGCAGCCAAGTAAAATTTAATCTTTGTAAAACCATAGCTATTTGGTCCTGATGAAGGTTCGATTACAAAATTCAATTTTACTTCTGCCAAAAAACATGCATCGGTAAAACAGAAAAAAAGTTGCAGTAGTTGTAAATAGGTTCAAACAGCTCAAATTTGTAGAAGTTAATCTAAATAGAAACAAAAATTTAACATTTAAGTATACTCTCATTGGGAAAAGTAGGAATTGGCAGGAAAATTTTGCAGAAGTTGATCTAAATAGAAACAAATATCTAATTTTTTTCTAGCATTTAACTATACTCTCATTGGGAAAAGTAGCAATTGGAAAATTTTGTAGAAGTTAATGGTTACTTGTTTTTCAGGATGGTTGTCAGATGGTGGTCAAATACTTACTAAATACTTAGAAGCCTGTCATAAATATCCGGAAACAGGCTTCAATTTTTTCGGCCCGTGCACAGAAAAACTGAATTGGGACAAATTAGTTTGACAAATTATTTATCATTTTTCGATATATTTTTACTGACAACCAAACTGAATTGTTGCCAGTGATATCTTGCAAAACCTTGAACCCACCTCAAATAAGGTGCATAGTCCCATCGGCGAAGGCTCCACCACCGAAACAAATGACACGTCCTCATCTGCACCACCAGCCACGTTAGATGACGTAAGTGTTATATCATAATCTAAGTCATCGTCGTCTTCTTCAACTGTCAACAAAGTGGGTTCGTTGCTCTTTTTGCTGCTGCTGCTCACATTAACATATAACTCCTCGTCTTTTACTTCGCCAAGTTTTTGCTTATCTTCTGCGGAATCTCTTTCGGGTGATTTTATTTCGGTTTTGTCGCCTAAACGCTTCGATTTTGAAACCTTGTTGTTCGCTTCAAAATCGGCTGATTTGGACTTCAAATTGCTTGTGTCAGATTTATTGAGCTCTATAGTTTCCATGACTTTTCAGATTTACAACTGTTTTTTTTAAGATTTGAAATAATTACAGAAATCGTAAGCTCATTGTGCGGATAACTTAATTTTTTTGCAAATAATATCAATGATTTGAACTCAATTCAAAAACTGTTTGCAGGTTTTGGGTCATTGAAACCAATTGGCATGGCGCAAATTATCACAGGACAATAAAAATTCACTCCTACAGAAATTTACATTTCCAGGAGCTTATGTTTATAAATCTCGATTTGATTATAACTGTAAATACGCAGGTAAGCTGAGTGGGCGCAAATCCTGGTAAAATTGAGCAAAGTCACCGCTGCGATTCAAATTGTATTTTGAGTTGAAAATCTTTTGAATACTTCTAAATTTAGAAATTCTTGTTTTATAGATTTCTTAACCCCTTCTAGCGAAACTTAGTACATGGCTTCAGGTCTTTTGAGGGAACATTTTATCTGGCTGTATTATGCGCTATAACAACTTTCCTTTCACTTAAAGAAAAAGGAAAGCCCTAATCCAAAAGTTGAGGAATTTCAGACTTTCACTCAATAGGTCGAATATGCATGCAGGTTTTGACTTTGGGAATTAATGAAACCATAAAACGGGGACTGCTTATACAGTTGGAATCGATACGGACTATTTTCGCAAATTTGGCATGCCGACTTTTCTTTTAGTACTTTTTCTTCTCTGTACAAGGTTTCAAACGGTGTGACAAAGCCCATTCACTGTTAAAGACGTTTAACGTCCCAACCTAAATCTTGGTTGGGTTGCTTTTTGAGACAGCAAGAAGGAACGTTGAGTTTTGTTGATAAATTCGATCTCACTTAGGCGGCAGTTGACGAAATTGACAGCCTTGAGCTGAAAAGCCACTTACTGCAGAACTTCATAGCAAATATATTTGCCCTAGAAGCCATCTGAGACAGATAATCAAGTTTTGCTTAGTATTTATTTGACAAGCTTGTTATTGGTTTTCATATAGATAAATATGCCTTTATATTGAAAAAAGTGTTACAGTCATCTTGAGTCTAAGGTTCTTGACAATAGTTTTGACCGTAAAGCACAAATTTTGCAGGCGACAATTGGTAGCATTTTAGAAACGGAAATTCATCGCAAAATAGTTTGCCACAGTTATTGAAAAAGTAATTCGAAATGGCTCTATCTCTTTTCCCCCATCTCACTTGAGCATCAATTTTATACAAAATGAAAAAAGCTTTCAAAATAAATTGTTTTTGCTATATAAAACAACCAAAACGCTATGTTTTAGCAAAACTTTCTCATTAGTTTCGGGGAGAGTTTTCATGATGGAGAGGCAGGTTGATGGAAAACTTTCAGCTAATCAGAAGCATTAGACGTTCTATTGGTTAAATGACTGTTGCACACAACCGAAGTCATTATTAACAGAAACTGAATTATAACAGAACAGCCAAGTTTTGCTATACAATTCGAGCAGATGAAAAAAAATTTGTCAGCCTTGAGCTAAAAAGCCAGTTACCACAGAATTTCATAGCAAATATATTTGCCCTACAAGCCATTTGAAACAGATAATGAAGTTATGCTTACTATTTAGTTGACAAGCTTATTATTATTTTTCATATAGATAAATATGCCTTTATAATTGAAAAAAGTGTTACAGTCATCTCGGGTCAAGGTTCTTGACGATGATTTTGACTGTAAAGCACAAACTTTGCAAACGACCTTTTGGTAGCATTTTAGAAACGGAAATTCATCGCAAAAAACTTTGCCACAGTTATTGAAAAAGTAATTCGAAATGGCTCTTTCTCTTTTCCCCCACCTCACTTGAGCATCAATTGTATACAAAATGAAAAAATTTTCAAAATAAACTGTTTTTGCTATATAAAACAACCAAAACGCTGTGTTTTAGCAAGTGTGGGATTTGAAATGTTTCACAAAACTACTAAGCAAAACTTTCTCATTAGTTTCGGGGAGAGTTTTCATGATGGAGGCGCAGAATGATGGAAAGTTTTCAGCTAATCAGAAGCGTTAGATGTTCTATTGATTAAATGGCTGTTGCGCACAACCGAAGTCATTATTAACAGAAACTGAATTATAACAGCACAGCAGAGTTTTGCTATACAATTCAAGCAGATCCAAAAAATTTTGTTTTATTTATTTTTTCAGAATTTGTTTTAGTTTTTTTCAAAACCCAGTTTCAATTTCGCAAAATTCGAAAGCTCATGCATCTGTTTGTTTTTAAATCAGTCAATATTATTTTTAATTGCCTGGATTCGTTTGCTTTCTTATAGATTTTTACAATTTTTTTCAGATTGTTGAATACTCAATTCTGATATTCTTGAGTGACGCCATCATTTAGTTTCTTTGCAAAAAACTCGTTTTCTAATTTCGGCAATTTTTCGCCTCGCCTACGAAAAATTGCTGTCTTAAAGCCGTTACGGTTTTCCATATCAGACAAGACTGCTCATATCATGGCAAAGCTTTGAGTGTTTCGACTGCTTTTTAAGGCCTATGGAGCAGTGTTGGTCTAAGAATTAGAATAAATTTAAAAAAAATGATTTTATACATTTTTCTAATTTTCGAGATTTTTTGCCATTCCCCACGCGCCAAATACAAGGTGAAAGGGTGATAGATTATGCTCCAAGTAATGTATTAATAATGACAAATAGCCGGCCTTAACCAATTTGGAACAATTTTTTCGACGGATTATATCTCCGCTTACGCGTAAAAAACGCGAAATGATCACGCGTTAATTATGCCGAATTGGTCACACTGGTAATCTTTAAACACCCACAATTTTACGAAAAATGATAACATGTCATCAAATATTATTTTAAATTTGAGCTGTAGACAACAATACCTTTTGGCTCACTTGAGCTAAGGACAATAATACCTTTTGCTGAAAAAAACTCCGTCAAAAATGGCTAGTTAAAAAGTCGAAAATTGTCTGGAAAGAAAACCACCACGAGCACAAATATTCCGTAACGTTTTTCAAAATTCAGAACAAAAAGTGTAGGATTGCGACTGAAAAATCCCACTCAAGAAGCTTTTATATGTCGAACACTCAGTCAAAACATACTCAATTCCGATCATAAAAATTCAAAAAAAGTTTCGAGCAAAGACAACAGACAAAACTCAACTAAAGAGCAGTCAAAAAATGGGCTAATCAGTTGAATTGTTGTGTTTTTTTTGAGAAATTTAATTAGTGTTTATATAAAAAATTGATGTTTTGTGAAAAAATTATATCATGTTTTAATCAAAAATCTGCTCAAAACACCTCTGTCAGAAATATAAAGTCATGGAACCTTTTAGTGAGTCTTATAAAATATGAAGAAATTTTTCAGTGTTGCCGCAAACTTTCAGTTCAAAAATCAGCACTCCTATTGGTCGGTAGTCGAGAATTTGACCACTAGAAAATAAAGTCGAGAACAGCCGAAGCGCTGTTTGAGCTCAGTCAAAACATAGATCGAGCACTGTTGATAGATACGTCGAGCACAGTAAAAAGTAGGTCGATCACAGCTGATACATGGACCGAGCAGTCAAAACAGGTCGAACACAGTTGAAACATAAATACAACATTTCAGTTTTTCACAGTCCATATTTTTAATTCGTGTAGAATATTTCCGTGTCTGAGTGAATATAAAAATCGGATAAAGTTAACATACCTCCCCTAAAATAGATCAAGTGTGATCCTCCACACAAGTATTCAGTTTAAATTAAAATTGCTAAGCGTTGCATGTGAACTGCTCGACTCTAATTGACTGAAAATTCTCAATTTAGGAGGGGGAGGAAGATGTTAACTTAGTCCTAAAAATTTTATAAGATTCTTGTAAGAATCTTATGAGCCAATACATTTACCTTGTAAGTTCGTATACGAAAAAATTATGATGTAAAATTCTTGAGAAGAAAAAAAATACAATGTAAGGTTTTTTTATAAGACAATGACTTACGATAGCATTCTTTTGATGACTAATAGATTATTTTGTAAAAAAAATAATAAGGAAGTTTTTGCTTTTTTTTAGTGTTTCAGTACTGTATAGTTTCTGTTGATCTGTAGCATACAATTAGTAAAATCTCGCACCGAAGGCTGCTGGCATTTGTTCTATGTTCTGCTCATAACGAGAGACGCATGCAAAATTTACAGGATGGTGTGGCCATCAAGATTCTGTAGGCCATGAAGTAGACAATCATTTGTCAGCTTATCTATTGTTGATAGTGGTCACATCTTCGAACTGTTTTTTTGCTGTGCGCATTCTTTAATGCTGCTTTTAGTGTTTGATTTTCTCCTTGTAATTTTACTTACCTTGTAATTACAATTTGTAATTTTACTTACCTTGACTTCGTAATTCCTTCTTCGTTTGTTTTTTGCTTCGCAAAAAAATTTCCTCGGCCCAAATAATTTTGGCCTAAATTTTTATTGCCCTTAAAAACTAATTTTTGGTAATTTTAAGGGAAACACAATTCTAAAACTCCACTTAGCATTTTTTAAGCTGGCTGAATAATTACCAATCGGTTTGTTGAAATTTCTTGTTTTTATTATGGAAAATTATTTCCAAATTTTTTAGAAAAATTTAGGTTTTTCCCAGAAACTTCCACTAAATTTCAAAACAGGGGTATCAATTAAAAGACCGCCTTATCATATGTATGCTTGTATACTCCCCAGAATCTCTTTTAAGTTGATTCCTCTGCTTAAAGCCTCTGAAAAAGTCTGTGTGGAAATAATTGAACCATGTTTTCGATTTTTTTTTTCGTTTTCTCGAAAAGTAACCCTCTCACATCTGATTCTTTGATTTCGAGAAAAAAAGAAGAAAAAAAAACAGTTTTGAAAAGCTTCCTGCATGAGCAGCTAAATTTTTCGCTCATAAATTGTGGCCCTTGTAATATTCAAACTTTGATTTTTGACCGTTTTCTAACTTTTTGATTTTCTCTAAAACTACCCTGCCAAATCTGAGATTTTAAGTTCACTTCAATGAACGGGTTGTGGAAAACTCATTTGATTATTTTCATTTTTTTCTGACACCTAAAGTTACGGCAATCAGAAAAGAATCGAAAGAAGGTGGAAAATCAGGCATAAATTGAAAAACTCACATAGGCTATCCGGTCTCTTTTGGGCGTTGTGGTGGGACATTTTGTTCAGCAGCAGAGCCAGTTCCTTCTCAAGGTCAAACACTACACGATCTTTGTCGTCTTTCTTTTTTTCATCTTTGACTGAGAAGAATCTGAGGTCCCAAATGGTCTTCAGTGTTAGCCCCAGAGAGTAAATGTGACACTAAAGATGGAGCTCAAATTAAGAAAAAATATTCGAGACTTCAGAAAAAGTCGAGACTTCAGAAAAATAATGCTTGATAAAAAAACGTATCTTTGTATACAGAGGTGAATCTAGGTTTTTGATGCGGATTTCCAAAAAAAATGTGGCAATTTTTTTTGGGTCGATCGGTTGATTTTCCCAAATTTTCTCAAAACAAAATACAGACCCGATTCTGAGAAAAAAATTCTGCGCTACAGGCGTTTTTTGAAAAAATAAAACATGCGAAAAGGCCGTTTTTGAGTCATTTTTTAAAGGTTTTGTCCAAAAATTGCTTTTTTTTGGCGCACGCCTTCATATTTGGAATCTGCCTTTAGGAAAATTTTTACGGTTGGTCAGCTGAAAATGAAAATTTAAAAAAATTAGTACGAAAGAGACGATCAATTGAAGGGTGTCCCCTAACTATGCGCTGTTTGAATCAATTTTATTTTATTCTCAGTTTGCTCTCAAGTTTCCTATAATATCTGAAAAATAAGCAAAATTGAAGATGCTTATTACGAATATTGTCTGATTTATTATAAAATAATAACTGAGCTAGAAGATAAATCCGAAGCTATTTACCCTTGCTGCAAATTTTCTGATAGCATTTTCTTCGTCTTGCTTCGTGAAAATATTCGAAATGTTAATCAATTCATGTTGCAGTTGCAAATCATGTCGCTCGGGGGCGTCAAAAAAATCCCACGAGTCACCGTCGCCCCCTCCCGACTGAACTTGGATGTCCAGAGCGACTGCGTTACCCTGAAGTGTAATGCACAATGTATGGGGACTGATTTTCAATTGGTCGGCGAAAAATCTCAACGGGCAAGTTTGGTAGAGTTTGAGTAGAGTTTTCACACTTTGTTCACACAGACAGAGAACTGCTTCGTTGATGTTGGAAGCTACTTCTGATTGGCTTTCGACGGAGTTGGAATCAGATTGGGTTTTCTGAATCTGCATCCAGAAACGAGCTATTTCTCCAATGGTGACCAAATCTTCTTCCTAGAAAATCATTAAATTGATCAGTTTGTACTACTGTCTAAATAGGACGAAACATCTAAAGTTTTAAGCACTTCTTAATGAAAAAAATAGTAATTAGCAGGAAAATGTTTCAAACGTTTTTACCAAGAAAAAAATTTCAGCCTTTCAAACAGCAGCCAAGTAAAATTTAATCTTTGTAAAACCATAGCTATTTGGTCCTGATGAAGGTTCGATTACAAAATTCAATTTTACTTCTGCCAAAAAACATGCATCGGTAAAACAGAAAAAAAGTTGCAGTAGTTGTAAATAGGTTCAAACAGCTCAAATTTGTAGAAGTTAATCTAAATAGAAACAAAAATTTAACATTTAAGTATACTCTCATTGGGAAAAGTAGGAATTGGCAGGAAAATTTTGCAGAAGTTGATCTAAATAGAAACAAATATCTAATTTTTTTCTAGCATTTAACTATACTCTCATTGGGAAAAGTAGCAATTGGAAAATTTTGTAGAAGTTAATGGTTACTTGTTTTTCAGGATGGTTGTCAGATGGTGGTCAAATACTTACTAAATACTTAGAAGCCTGTCATAAATATCCGGAAACAGGCTTCAATTTTTTCGGCCCGTGCACAGAAAAACTGAATTGGGACAAATTAGTTTGACAAATTATTTATCATTTTTCGATATATTTTTACTGACAACCAAACTGAATTGTTGCCAGTGATATCTTGCAAAACCTTGAACCCACCTCAAATAAGGTGCATAGTCCCATCGGCGAAGGCTCCACCACCGAAACAAATGACACGTCCTCATCTGCACCACCAGCCACGTTAGATGACGTAAGTGTTATATCATAATCTAAGTCATCGTCGTCTTCTTCAACTGTCAACAAAGTGGGTTCGTTGCTCTTTTTGCTGCTGCTGCTCACATTAACATATAACTCCTCGTCTTTTACTTCGCCAAGTTTTTGCTTATCTTCTGCGGAATCTCTTTCGGGTGATTTTATTTCGGTTTTGTCGCCTAAACGCTTCGATTTTGAAACCTTGTTGTTCGCTTCAAAATCGGCTGATTTGGACTTCAAATTGCTTGTGTCAGATTTATTGAGCTCTATAGTTTCCATGACTTTTCAGATTTACAACTGTTTTTTTTTAAGATTTGAAATAATTACAGAAATCGTAAGCTCATTGTGCGGATAACTTAATTTTTTTGCAAATAATATCAATGATTTGAACTCAATTCAAAAACTGTTTGCAGGTTTTGGGTCATTGAAACCAATTGGCATGGCGCAAATTATCACAGGACAATAAAAATTCACTCCTACAGAAATTTACATTTCCAGGAGCTTATGTTTATAAATCTCGATTTGATTATAACTGTAAATACGCAGGTAAGCTGAGTGGGCGCAAATCCTGGTAAAATTGAGCAAAGTCACCGCTGCGATTCAAATTGTATTTTGAGTTGAAAATCTTTTGAATACTTCTAAATTTAGAAATTCTTGTTTTATAGATTTCTTAACCCCTTCTAGCGAAACTTAGTACATGGCTTCAGGTCTTTTGAGGGAACATTTTATCTGGCTGTATTATGCGCTATAACAACTTTCCTTTCACTTAAAGAAAAAGGAAAGCCCTAATCCAAAAGTTGAGGAATTTCAGACTTTCACTCAATAGGTCGAATATGCATGCAGGTTTTGACTTTGGGAATTAATGAAACCATAAAACGGGGACTGCTTATACAGTTGGAATCGATACGGACTATTTTCGCAAATTTGGCATGCCGACTTTTCTTTTAGTACTTTTTCTTCTCTGTACAAGGTTTCAAACGGTGTGACAAAGCCCATTCACTGTTAAAGACGTTTAACGTCCCAACCTAAATCTTGGTTGGGTTGCTTTTTGAGACAGCAAGAAGGAACGTTGAGTTTTGTTGATAAATTCGATCTCACTTAGGCGGCAGTTGACGAAATTGACAGCCTTGAGCTGAAAAGCCACTTACTGCAGAACTTCATAGCAAATATATTTGCCCTAGAAGCCATCTGAGACAGATAATCAAGTTTTGCTTAGTATTTATTTGACAAGCTTGTTATTGGTTTTCATATAGATAAATATGCCTTTATATTGAAAAAAGTGTTACAGTCATCTTGAGTCTAAGGTTCTTGACAATAGTTTTGACCGTAAAGCACAAATTTTGCAGGCGACAATTGGTAGCATTTTAGAAACGGAAATTCATCGCAAAATAGTTTGCCACAGTTATTGAAAAAGTAATTCGAAATGGCTCTATCTCTTTTCCCCCATCTCACTTGAGCATCAATTTTATACAAAATGAAAAAAGCTTTCAAAATAAATTGTTTTTGCTATATAAAACAACCAAAACGCTATGTTTTAGCAAAACTTTCTCATTAGTTTCGGGGAGAGTTTTCATGATGGAGAGGCAGGTTGATGGAAAACTTTCAGCTAATCAGAAGCATTAGACGTTCTATTGGTTAAATGACTGTTGCACACAACCGAAGTCATTATTAACAGAAACTGAATTATAACAGAACAGCCAAGTTTTGCTATACAATTCGAGCAGATGAAAAAAAATTTGTCAGCCTTGAGCTAAAAAGCCAGTTACCACAGAATTTCATAGCAAATATATTTGCCCTACAAGCCATTTGAAACAGATAATGAAGTTATGCTTACTATTTAGTTGACAAGCTTATTATTATTTTTCATATAGATAAATATGCCTTTATAATTGAAAAAAGTGTTACAGTCATCTCGGGTCAAGGTTCTTGACGATGATTTTGACTGTAAAGCACAAACTTTGCAAACGACCTTTTGGTAGCATTTTAGAAACGGAAATTCATCGCAAAAAACTTTGCCACAGTTATTGAAAAAGTAATTCGAAATGGCTCTTTCTCTTTTCCCCCACCTCACTTGAGCATCAATTGTATACAAAATGAAAAAATTTTCAAAATAAACTGTTTTTGCTATATAAAACAACCAAAACGCTGTGTTTTAGCAAGTGTGGGATTTGAAATGTTTCACAAAACTACTAAGCAAAACTTTCTCATTAGTTTCGGGGAGAGTTTTCATGATGGAGGCGCAGAATGATGGAAAGTTTTCAGCTAATCAGAAGCGTTAGATGTTCTATTGATTAAATGGCTGTTGCGCACAACCGAAGTCATTATTAACAGAAACTGAATTATAACAGCACAGCAGAGTTTTGCTATACAATTCAAGCAGATCCAAAAAATTTTGTTTTATTTATTTTTTCAGAATTTGTTTTAGTTTTTTTCAAAACCCAGTTTCAATTTCGCAAAATTCGAAAGCTCATGCATCTGTTTGTTTTTAAATCAGTCAATATTATTTTTAATTGCCTGGATTCGTTTGCTTTCTTATAGATTTTTACAATTTTTTTCAGATTGTTGAATACTCAATTCTGATATTCTTGAGTGACGCCATCATTTAGTTTCTTTGCAAAAAACTCGTTTTCTAATTTCGGCAATTTTTCGCCTCGCCTACGAAAAATTGCTGTCTTAAAGCCGTTACGGTTTTCCATATCAGACAAGACTGCTCATATCATGGCAAAGCTTTGAGTGTTTCGACTGCTTTTTAAGGCCTATGGAGCAGTGTTGGTCTAAGAATTAGAATAAATTTAAAAAAATGATTTTATACATTTTTCTAATTTTCGAGATTTTTTGCCATTCCCCACGCGCCAAATACAAGGTGAAAGGGTGATAGATTATGCTCCAAGTAATGTATTAATAATGACAAATAGCCGGCCTTAACCAATTTGGAACAATTTTTTCGACGGATTATATCTCCGCTTACGCGTAAAAAACGCGAAATGATCACGCGTTAATTATGCCGAATTGGTCACACTGGTAATCTTTAAACACCCACAATTTTACGAAAAATGATAACATGTCATCAAATATTATTTTAAATTTGAGCTGTAGACAACAATACCTTTTGGCTCACTTGAGCTAAGGACAATAATACCTTTTGCTGAAAAAAACTCCGTCAAAAATGGCTAGTTAAAAAGTCGAAAATTGTCTGGAAAGAAAACCACCACGAGCACAAATATTCCGTAACGTTTTTCAAAATTCAGAACAAAAAGTGTAGGATTGCGACTGAAAAATCCCACTCAAGAAGCTTTTATATGTCGAACACTCAGTCAAAACATACTCAATTCCGATCATAAAAATTCAAAAAAAGTTTCGAGCAAAGACAACAGACAAAACTCAACTAAAGAGCAGTCAAAAAATGGGCTAATCAGTTGAATTGTTGTGTTTTTTTTGAGAAATTTAATTAGTGTTTATATAAAAAATTGATGTTTTGTGAAAAAATTATATCATGTTTTAATCAAAAATCTGCTCAAAACACCTCTGTCAGAAATATAAAGTCATGGAACCTTTTAGTGAGTCTTATAAAATATGAAGAAATTTTTCAGTGTTGCCGCAAACTTTCAGTTCAAAAATCAGCACTCCTATTGGTCGGTAGTCGAGAATTTGACCACTAGAAAATAAAGTCGAGAACAGCCGAAGCGCTGTTTGAGCTCAGTCAAAACATAGATCGAGCACTGTTGATAGATACGTCGAGCACAGTAAAAAGTAGGTCGATCACAGCTGATACATGGACCGAGCAGTCAAAACAGGTCGAACACAGTTGAAACATAAATACAACATTTCAGTTTTTCACAGTCCATATTTTTAATTCGTGTAGAATATTTCCGTGTCTGAGTGAATATAAAAATCGGATAAAGTTAACATACCTCCCCTAAAATAGATCAAGTGTGATCCTCCACACAAGTATTCAGTTTAAATTAAAATTGCTAAGCGTTGCATGTGAACTGCTCGACTCTAATTGACTGAAAATTCTCAATTTAGGAGGGGGAGGAAGATGTTAACTTAGTCCTAAAAATTTTATAAGATTCTTGTAAGAATCTTATGAGCCAATACATTTACCTTGTAAGTTCGTATACGAAAAAATTATGATGTAAAATTCTTGAGAAGAAAAAAAATACAATGTAAGGTTTTTTTATAAGACAATGACTTACGATAGCATTCTTTTGATGACTAATAGATTATTTTGTAAAAAAAATAATAAGGAAGTTTTTGCTTTTTTTTAGTGTTTCAGTACTGTATAGTTTCTGTTGATCTGTAGCATACAATTAGTAAAATCTCGCACCGAAGGCTGCTGGCATTTGTTCTATGTTCTGCTCATAACGAGAGACGCATGCAAAATTTACAGGATGGTGTGGCCATCAAGATTCTGTAGGCCATGAAGTAGACAATCATTTGTCAGCTTATCTATTGTTGATAGTGGTCACATCTTCGAACTGTTTTTTTGCTGTGCGCATTCTTTAATGCTGCTTTTAGTGTTTGATTTTCTCCTTGTAATTTTACTTACCTTGTAATTACAATTTGTAATTTTACTTACCTTGACTTCGTAATTCCTTCTTCGTTTGTTTTTTGCTTCGCAAAAAAATTTCCTCGGCCCAAATAATTTTGGCCTAAATTTTTATTGCCCTTAAAAACTAATTTTTGGTAATTTTAATGGAAACACAATTCTAAAACTCCACTTAGCATTTTTTAAGCTGGCTGAATAATTACCAATCGGTTTGTTGAAATTTCTTGTTTTTATTATGGAAAATTATTTCCAAATTTTTTAGAAAAATTTAGGTTTTTCCCAGAAACTTCCACTAAATTTCAAAACAGGGGTATCAATTAAAAGACCGCCTTATCATATGTATGCTTGTATACTCCCCAGAATCTCTTTTAAGTTGATTCCTCTGCTTAAAGCCTCTGAAAAAGTCTGTGTGGAAATAATTGAACCATGTTTTCGATTTTTTTTTTCGTTTTCTCGAAAAGTAACCCTCTCACATCTGATTCTTTGATTTCGAGAAAAAAGAAAAAAAAAAAAACAGTTTTGAAAAGCTTCCTGCATGAGCAGCTAAATTTTTCGCTCATAAATTATGGCCCTTGTAATATTCAAACTTTGATTTTTGACCGTTTTCTAACTTTTTGATTTTCTCTAAAACTACCCTGCCAAATCTGAGATTTTGAGTTCACTTCAATGAACGGGTTGTGGAAAACTCATTTGATTATTTTCATTTTTTTCTGACACCTAAAGTTACGGCAATCAGAAAAGAATCGAAAGAAGGTGGAAAATCAGGCATAAATTGAAAAACTCACATAGGCTATCCGGTCTCTTTTGGGCGTTGTGGTGGGACATTTTGTTCAGCAGCAGAGCCAGTTCCTTCTCAAGGTCAAACACTACACGATCTTTGTCGTCTTTCTTTTTTTCATCTTTGACTGAGAAGAATCTGAGGTCCCAAATGGTCTTCAGTGTTAGCCCCAGAGAGTAAATGTGACACTAAAGATGGAGCTCAAATTAAGAAAAAATATTCGAGACTTCAGAAAAAGTCGAGACTTCAGAAAAATAATGCTTG